CGCCCCTCCTGCGGGCCCCTACCCCCACTCGCGCGACCCTTCAGCCTAGGGCAAGCGGGGTGTTGCGCCCCCACGCTTCTCCCCACTCTTCTCCCCACTCGTAACTCGCCCTTTACCTCTCCCGACTCACTCAAGTGTTTTGGTTTAAAATATTGTTTCTTTACAAAGTTATTAAGATTATCTGTACAATAACTTTATAAAGACCGTCGTAATTTCAGTCTTGTTTCGACGTTAATTTTTGTAGCATGTTAAATGGTGGTGTGCGCTCATTTCTCGAGGGCGTTATTCCCCCCCCCCCCCCCCCGCGAGCTCCCGGCCACGCTTAGCACCTCTGCGTCGTTAGCAGGTCGGGGGACGGGCGGTCGCGCCTCGCGCCGCGGATCAAACGGTCGCGTCAGGAACGCTACACCACCACATCACCTGCGTAAACCGGTGCAGCCCACACTCCCCACTCTTTGTCTTGTTTTTGTCTACTTATTTTTTTCTTTTATTTATTTGGTTTTTCCCCTCTTCCGAGAGAGAGAGGACATGCCATGTTGTTGCTGGAAATTGTATCATTCCGAAAATCAGCCGTAGCAGCATTCCCACGGAAATACCACACCGGCGCCGCCGGGGCGAGGCGGCCGTGGGCGGCGCAAGGCGGGGGGTAGAAGGTAGTGTGGGGAGGCTGGGCTGGTATCTCAACCCGCCGCGCCGCGCCACTGCACCCCACTCCCCACTCGTCCCCATTGTACCTCGCTGCCGCCGGAGCCCGACTCGACTCGACCCGACCCGGCGTGGCGTGGCGGAGCCGTATTCCAGCCAGCCTGAGGTGCAGCGCGGGTCCAGGAGTGGGGGGAAGGGAGGGGGGCATGGAGCTGAGGCTGAGACGGTGTAAAGGGTGGTTGTGGAGGGGGGTGGAACTCCTTGTAGGGGGCAAGGAGAGAGGGCGAGCTTACAAGGTGGAGGGGGGGCGGACGTACTTCATTGACGATCCCTTCGTTTGCACTTATTTTCTCGTCACACCGAGTGAGTTTTCAGTCGCATCCAGTCACATCCAGCCGCATGCCTTTCTAGTCAGAGTGTACACACATCGTTACTCCTCGAAGGCCTTCCCCACGAGGCCGAAACGTTTTTGTATTTCTGCCAGAAAAGGTTGCGCAAAAGTGTGCAGAAAATTGAATAAGGTTTATGTATGGCCTGGTTGTCTCAAGCCGCGCTATCTGTCGGGCTGCACGCGCATGACTCAGGGTCCCGCCCCGCATCGGAGAGACTGACTCACAGAGGGGAATGACGGCGGGGGAAAAGGAGGAGGGGGGTAGGGGGTCGCGTCCGAGGTGTGCACCTTCCTTTAACTTGGCCACGACGCCAGGGCTGGCCTGGAGGCGGCGGCTGCGCACGCGGCCCAAGCCTCGGGCCACGGGGTGGGGCGCCCACCCCGCCTCGCCCCCTACTGGTGGTGGATGGAGCGCGTGTAGCTGTCGGGCCGGTTGCCTGGCTCTCTCTGTCATATAACCGGCATAAATTTCAACTCGGAGGCCACGCAAAAGGATCCTATCCCACAATTGCAAAAGTTTTTGTTATTGTAAGTTTTTTTTAGACCGTCTCTCTACCCTGAAGGTAAACGTTTTTTTGGTCGCACGATATGAAGATTTTGCACTAGATGCGGGGCTGGCGCGCCAGTCGTTTGGCGGCGGGTGGGGCGCAGCCGAGGGCGCAGCGGAGATGGACGATGATGGATGGGGGAGGCGGCGTGCGGCGGCGCGCGGCGGGACGCCAAGGTCTTTTCTTATGATATTCCAGTCATGGAGTGGCCAGTCGAGGGTGGCAAACCGGAGCGTGAACGGGGAGGTGGGGGAGACGGTGCTTAGG